GCGGGTTATTGATAACCTGAAGTCCATTGCAAGCGAAGAACTCTTCCCATTTTCTGCCACGATGGTCCAGGCGGTCTCCTCCCTATGTGGGGGAGTGAGCATTAGTGTCCCCCGCCAAGATGTAGAAAGCGTTAGGGAAGACATCCATACTATGCTGGATGCTTGACAGTGTTTCCTCAATGTCACTGTCCTTCAGGGAGTAAAAATTAATGAAAATATATCTGCTTCCATAGAAATTCATCTCGGTACAGGACACAAACTGGGTACTGACATTTTTATGGTGTAGCATGGGTAGCTCATTGTTAGGGGCGATGGAGAGTGCCCAGGGATAATCTGAGATACCACTCAGTGTGATACAGGTGCTCGGTAAGCAAGCCAACTTGTTTCTAATACAGTAGGGCTCCTGACATAGAATAAGGTCAAAGTTATTAATTTTAGTCAGAGTAGATTGAAATATGTGGCAGGCGTTTTTTTGGTTTTTTAATGGATATTTGTGGGATTTGTTCCTCTATGTATTGCTGGAGTTTGTTGGCATCATCAAGTTTCTTTAGTTCTATAGCTACTCCTCCTCCCGTAATGTTTCTCATTCTATCGACTCCGATTCTGAGCTGAGATGGTTTTATCTTCTCATGTATAATTTTCCTCAGGTTGTTACAATTACTTTCCTCCCAGTTTTCATAAAGTAATAAGACCTCTGGGTTGGCATTCAAAACCCGAGGTCTGGTTAGAAGGTTGATGGTTTTTCCAGATTGTAGTACAGCAGAATAAGTTTTCTGTGGTGGAATCTCCATGGCATTTTGTGTACAGAGCTGCTCCACTTTTTCTTTAACAGAAATCTGGTTTTCAAGGATTTCTTTTAGTGGGCCCTCCTCAACAAGCCTGTCGAGTTTCCCTGACAAGCCATCCACCTGAGTAATGGGTGCATCAAGATATAGCTTGTCCACCATATACTCTACGCCGTTCTCTATTTTTTTTATTGCTCTCAGTGATTTTATCAAGTTTTGTGTTCACATCCTGAAGCATGTGGCACAGTTTTTGGTAGTTATCCTCGAATTTATCATGAATTCCCTCAAGTCTTCCACTCCTAATGGGGCTTGATTTTGGGGGATGCAGGACAGGCATAGGCGGTGTAGCTTCTGCAATGAGGATATCGTTGAGTTTTTGGTATGGTGTCGAGTCCCCTCTCGATGTGTTAGAGGTTGGGGGTGAGAGAGTTTCCTGTCCACCTCCAGAGTCCATGCACTTACTTGGGGATAAACAATTCTTTTTAATAGTGGCAGTGGCCAGGTCAATAATCTTTTCAATTTGGTCACTAATGTATTTGACGTTTTGAGCAGAGCTCATACGTTTGTAGGATTTTTCAGTGCAAAATCCTTTTGTTTCGTCGGCAATTTTGTAAGCTTGCTCCAAGAATGAGTCCAATATTTCCGCTTCCATAGTGTCTTGGAGTAGTAGAGGAGGGGAGCAAAATAACAAAGTCCAACCAGGCAGGTGAAGTGTGCACAATAAAACACTAGTGTAGAAAAGGTGCCCAAGAATTTCAACAGGTCCCCCGATGAGAAGTTCAAAATACAAGAGCGTAAACCAGGTAGGTTGCGCGACGCACTGGTCCAAACATCACACAGACTATCACCGGTCCAAAGTTAAAACCTGACACACTAGTGTCGAGCCCACAGCAATACCAGAGATGATCAAGTCAGATGCCTACTAAGGGTCCACTGTGTGTTGGGGGAGGCCAAGCAAGCTTGGCCTCCCCCAACACACAGTGGACCCACAAGCAAGCTTGGCCTGTGGCAACACAGAGCTAGCTGCCTGACTGCTGGCTGATAATGCCTCCAAAAGCAAACCGGCCAGCTGGGAAGACCAGTCTGCTAGATAGCAGGTCTCCCCACCAAAAAATAACAGATAAAGTATACTCACTCCCCAGCACAAAATGACAGTTGTCTTCTGTTTTCTTCTTGTAGTTCACAGCTCTTGGGGAAGCCAAGATAGCTGCCGAGAAAATCACAAACCCTAGCTATTTAAGCTAAGCTAAAAAGTTAGGCTTAGCTCTGCTAAGCCTAACCGCTGCCCTAAGCCTAAAATAAGCCTATTTTCCTATACTTTAGTATAGGAAGAGCTAGACTAAGCCTAAAATCAGGCCTAACTACACAAAACAGAAAAATTTTGGAGCTGAGAAAAGCACAACCTTCTCCTCTGAAAGCACAACTGGAAGTTCACTAAACTATAAACTAAAACACGTGCAGTGCAAGTCAAAACACGTTGTGTTACTAACGCAAAGTGTCAACTATTGGTCCAAGGTCACAAACATCGCCGCCGACTGAGTACGAAAGTTGAGATCCATATCCATATCCGTGGATCTAGACACTAATGATCCGTATCTGAATCCGTATCCGCATATATACATTTTTAACGATCTGGCACATAACTAGTATTTATAATTCAATCAGATGAACATGTTAAAGTGAAAATTTCAGATAGTTAAAATTAATGATTTAGTTTGCAATAACAACAACAATTTCACTCATTTTAAATAATTTTCAAAATACATGCTTAGGTTCTTTACACATTGTCAGAAAAACTATAGAACTAACATTTCAACCTATATTTTTACTAAAAGCTATAACTATGACCTATTTTGAAGCTAATTAACAAATGACAGATAAATCTGTATAAAAGATAGATATAAAAATTAATATGCACAAAGAAAAGAAACACTGATCTTGATTTTGAGAGAGATCATCTTAAAAATTTCATGCCTGCATTTAATGGAATTGATGAGAAAGTGTGCATCATTAGGTTTGATTAAATCCAACCTGTATCAAACTCTCAATGCAGAATTCTACTGCCAAAAGCCACAAAGAATTTTTAAAGAGCTAAAATTAAGCATCCATATTTAGTAAATAGCCATCTTTCATTGTGACAATGCTAAACCTTATATTACAATGATAACTCAACAAACAACTAGAGAATTATATTGGAAACTTTTCCTAATCTTGCACCAGCAAATTTTTATTCATTTATGCTATGCCATAATGTTTTAAACAACATAACATTTAACAATAAGTACCAAAATGCAATAGCTATCAGCAAGTTCATCACATCCATAAACAGAATTACATCATTAAAAAATTAGAAAGCTGATTAGAAAAATGGGAGAGAATCTAACAAAATCTAATGTACATTATTGGATACTTAAGTAATAAAATATAAAAGTTTTACCATATNATTCTATATGAAGGTTAAAAGTTGACAATTAAGTTCCATTGTATTAATTCTTTGTACAGACAAGTTCCATTTTGAAATAACACTGCAAAATAAAGTCTCATTTTCACATTAATATTCAGAAAACAATGAAAATAACATTATGTAATCAGACACATTGATACATATTTTCCTCACAACAGTTCAAGCAGTAGTACTATAGTAGAGCATCGTTTATCCAAAATGTCAGTTATCCGAAAGAATTTCAAATGGAAAATTTAAATTTTTGCTAGTGCTGTGGCGCTGCATTCTTTGACTATGTCTTGGGCTACTCCAATAGTTTTTATGTTTGTGTATGTGCTTTAGCTGGTAGCACTGGCACTTTTGTGTGGTGTTTTTCTGAAAACTGTGTCATGCTGAATCGAACGTTTTTGATACTAGATTAACTTCTAAAGTATAATTTTTTTTTGATTTTATATTTTTCAATATATTTATTTTGTTTGTACAAAATAAAGAAATAATTTTTAATGATACAATAGCCACGATTATTATTTTAAGAAGTTTACGTTAAGCTTAACATTGATCAAAATTCAACACAAAGCGACACGCAATAGAGAAAAATTTCAACATGGGATAGGTTAATATATTTTTTCATACATAAACAGTTATCCAAAAAATAACTTATCCAAACAACCTCAGTCCCCAATTGATTCAGATAAACGACGCTCTACATTATTATATTCAACAGTATAAAATATTAACAGAGTCTCAAAACAATCATCATATATTGTATTTTTTAAAAGTTATTAAATGTCATGTATTATACTGTACTAATACTTAAAATGCATTCAAGAAGCAATTGTTTCTTTATTTCTGATTGTTCAATATCAATAAAAGCAAAAAATATCCTATCAAATAATTGCAATCCAAAATTAAAATTAATATATGCAAATTTTAAAGCAAATAAAATATAAAATATTTATTTTAACAATAAAAATTTATTTTATAATACATACATGAAATTAAATCAAAACATTTTTTCTCTTCTGGAATAATCTGTAAACAGATTATAAATTTATATTATTATATTAAGTAATAAATAACTCAACTGTTTGTTTTTTTGTACAATTATACTATACAGAGATTACTATAAATAAAATATTATTACAGTACTTTTTTTTTTAGACCATTACCTAGAATTTTATCATAATAATGTAAAATTACAATTTGCAAATTAGTTGTTAATCACACAACTGAATGAATATACTGTATCATCATATTAAGTCAGCTTTAATGTGAGGCATTAAAATGTAAATTTTCAATTTCTAACTTAAAAATCTTTCCTAATTAAACTATTCTTTCTTCAATTAGATTACTGCTGTTGTTTTCTATTTAGGCTAACAATATTTTTTTAAAAAATTTCAAAATTTTACAAGTTCAATTTAGTGATAAAATATTGTTGCATCTGAAGTGTTAGTCTTAACTTCCTCACCGCCAATNTAAAGACAAATAAATGGAAATTTATGAATGTTTAATTTCTGCATATTTCACCCAAAAAAGAAAAGTAACACAACTGAAAAAATGCAATTTTTCAGGAAAAAGTAAAATTAAAAACAAAACATGGCACATGTTTAATATTGGAAAAAACTTTCCATGTAATAAAGTTAATTATACTCCTCTAAAAAACATGCTACAAATGTTTTATTGGTTTGGTAAATAATATCCATTGCCAAGTTAATATTTTAAATAATTTATTTAATCTTATTTCTTAATTTACAAAATGAACTAATACATACCAACAGTTGTGATGTTCCAATATTATCTAAAGTAAGAGACTGAATTCGAGATATATGCACACCCATATCCCTATGTATCCCTGAGCATTCAATACATGTTAATATCCCAAAATTTGTTGATAACCACGTTGGATCTGAAATAAATACTCTTATTAAGAAAAAGAATATGCTTTCTGTAATTTTAATTTACTCTACTTAAAAATTAAACTATAGTAATTTCCTGCAATAACCTGCATCAGCATATACCTTGCAGAAAATTACTAGAACAAAAATATTATAGAACAAAATATATAGAACAAAAACTGTACAATCCAACAAAAGTGCACATGAAACCATTCTGTTCAATGTATTTCTAGAGATAAATAAAAGCTTTGCCTAAGGCACATTGCCATATACTACAAACTTAGAAATTTTCTATTAACAATGTGTCTTAATCCATATGCAGTATAAAAGGTATCATCTCAGAAATTCCATTTTTTTTCTGCAGTTCTTTTGTTTTATTCCATTTAATAATTTATTGTAAATGTCATTAATAAAACAGGCAAAATGGAAAGAATGAAATATATGAGATAAAATCATCTAAACTTCACTGTGCTAAAACTACAAAATGACTCCAAATGACAAAATTCTTTAATGTTTTATTAATCAAATAATATCAATAAAAGAATAACTTAACTACTTGATAAACTGGATATGTTAAGAATATTTGCACTAATTTACAAGGCAATGCAAAAAAAAAAAAACTTGTACTGTACCATACATGAGTACGAGATACCCTAACAATGGCACTGCCAGCATTACCTGAAAACTATATGAAGTTGCTGTAATTGGGTAAAATTTTGCTATGGCTTGATAATGGCATATAATGTATAATTCATGTAGGTATATTCTAGTAATAACACAGATAATTTTGTTTAATGATTAAATTACCACAGACAAATCATCTCTTCCCTTTAAATAACTTTAACTCAAGTTTTGATTTATATCAAGAATTGAATTAATAAAAATTTCGCAAAAAATTTTCACATAACATTCTAACAATAAATCCCCTAATTCCTTATTTTCAACAGAGCCTTTGTTTTGGTTACCTTGGTTTATCAAGTATGCCAATTTTGGAAAATAATCTTATAATTAGCATGGGATTGTACTGGATTTACAGTTTAATTAATTTTTCAACTAAATGCACAAAACAAAACTTTTCCAAAAAACAATTTTTTAACCATATATTTCTTAAATTTGAAAAATCATCCAGCAGAAGAATGATCTATCAACAGATGTAACGCTTCATTTTTAATATAAAAAGAACATAGTTCATTATATTTTTGCTTGTTTTGTAAACTAAACTGATTATAAATGAAGAAAAAATTTTTATTCTTTTACATTCAGAAAATGGGAAATCACAAAAAACCTCACAAAACCACATAAAAATGTGATTTATAAATATTATCATCGAGCGAGTTTTGTTGGATGGCCCTTTGTCCACTTGAAAAAATGTCACGTTGACCTTTTAAAAAAACTGTGCAATCCAACAAAAGTGCACATTAAACCATTATGTTCAATGTATTTCTAGAGATAAAACACTACAAGGGTTTCTGTATGGTATGTTGTTTCTGATCTGCATTCAACAATTTTAACTAATTTAATATTACTTGTTTCTTAAGAATTATTTTTCCTGTTCTTTTTACAAGAATCTTCAATTATTATTTGCATTGTAACATTTTAAATGACTGTCAACTATGACAGTAGTACCATATAAAAAAAAATCATTTTGAATCTACTAAAAAAAGTCATCATTCAGAAATACAGTAGAGCATCAATTATCCGACTCAATTGAGGACTCAGGTTGGTCGGATAACTGAAAAAATCGGATAACCGAAAATAATGAAAAAATACATTATTAGTATATTATATTAGTATATCGTTAACTTACTTCACGTTGAATTTTCATTGATGTTAAGCCTAACAATTTTTTTTAAAAATAATAATCGTCGCTATTGTATCATTAAAATTATTTATAAATTATTTTATTGTTNTCTATTTATTACATACATCAGAATGTGATATATATAGTATTATCACTAAATTTATTATTATACATTTTGTTTAAAAATGTATAATAATAAATTTAGTGATAATACATGTCTAACTTTTTAGATGTAAAATGTTCTATCACTAAGTAGAATTAATACTGGATGCAATTTTTAAACAAAACACTCAACACCTTGAAATCTGATGTTTATTTCAATCATTTAAAATAAACATCACTCTATATGCCAGGTACACTGACAATATATACATAATTTGGCACAAGAAACCAAAATCTACAACAGCTTTTAACAACTATAAATAACAACCCTTAGCTTTCATCTCTGTATTAAACAAGACCATCCCCACATGATACAGTTCATTTCCTAGACATTTTACTCAACATCCATCATCAAAATGTTTATACCTATTTATTGGAAATAATCTTATAGCCCATTATTTATTCCTGCAGTTCCATATGATCCATACTCTTTCAAAATCTGTTTTTAAAGCTCTGGTCAAGACAGAGTATATCCATTCATCAAACAGCAACAATAGAATAAAGAAATTGGATTATACCACTAACAATAATCTGAAAATTGTCAAGGGTTAATTAGGAAGTACACCTCTCTAAACCATTACACCAATCAAGAACATACTTCTTATAAAGTTATAACCTACAATAATCATCTTAGATGTACTTTCAAAGAAATAGTGAGAGTCAAAAACATAAAAGTTATCAATAAACACAACCTTACCGTCTACTCCATACTGCAGAATGATAAAGATATTGTCAATAAGCAACTACTACCTGGGGTGTACTCAATTCCCATCATCAAGAACATGAGAGTGAACCAAAATTCTGAATACATAGGAACAACCAGTCACTCCATACACCAGCTCCTTCAAACACACGCCAAGTATGTGTTTGAAGGAGCATGAAGCTGTTATCAAAAAAGGTCATTCTGATACAGCATTGTCAGCAAATGCTATTGACAACAAAGTACAAGTACAATTTGATAATGCACACATCAAACTAGATATAAGACATCTCATAGCTTTGGAAAAACTACCAACATATAAGGTCCTCAAAGAAATACATCTATAAACTTTAAAGACAATAACATTCTATTTCAAGCCAGAGATTGTGCTTTGAAACTTTTAATTTATTTTCCTTTGTAAAAATCTCTAGTAAAATTGCAGCCCTGATCCAATCAAATTTATTGAATATGATCTAATTTTAAATTTTTATATTAAAGTTTCTATTCCACTTTAAAACATCCAGAACCTGATGATGACTACTGAATCTAAGTGAAAACATTTCTTTGCCAATAAAGTTTTGTTAAATTAGTGCTGAATCTAAATTTTATAGGTGTTAGTGTTTTATTCTATCATGAAATTCTGTTTTAAAAAATTTTCTATCATTTTTTACAACTAATATTTTGTCAAAACATGCAATAAATGCCATGAAATATTGCTGCAGTATCTATAATTTTCAAAAAAGTATTTCATTACATTTGTAGTGAAAATATTTTATTTTAAAATATAAAAACAATTTCTATTTCTGTATAATGAGTTTATCTATCTATCTATATTAATTTTTAACTGACATTTTCAAAAATTATTATATGAAGAAATAATGAATATATTCATTATTCTCAACAATAATAATAATTCATATTATACTAATTTTGAGGGCATTATAATTCCTAATAAATTAGTATAATATAAGTTTTCAAAAAGAAGTTATCAGAAAATTANTTTTTGAGAGAGTTCAACTAGAAACATATTGAAAATCTAGATTAAAGTGAAAAATGGCAGTTTTTCAACATTAACTATTTACAAGTTAATTTTTTAATTTGGTGCCAGATTGATGCGGGTATGCAAATTTATATTTGAATGAGCACGCGTGTGATGGGTTTTAACTGGATGGAACCATACACTTTGTTGCATCTATTTATATGTTTCTCGTAGCTTGAATGTTGGAAGATTACATGGAAATCTTTACTAGATACACTGATGTTGGAAGCACACAACATGCAGAAAAGCTCTGAGTCAGACAACCTATGTCCTCAAGATGACACCATAAACCATTTCAATTAATTTTAACAAGCTAGCCCTCTCTAATCATGCACTTTGCCTTGCTCATGGTTTACCAGTAGTATGCCATGACATTTGATGATAGGGAAGCTGTGTTTCTATAAGAAGCTTAATCAGCTAATTGCGCATCAGACTGATGCACAATTAACTGATTGCCCCTGGAAGTCGGCTTCAATCTTATCATTGTTTTTCACATGTACATAAATTTGTAATAAAATGAATAATTCTGCAGTATCATCAATTTTTCCATAAGCAGTAGCATCGAAAGATGTCACCGACCCAAGGAAAAATTTACATAAGTCTCAGAAATGAGTGAAAAAAGTTGTGGAATGAAGTCCAGGAATAAAGTTCTTGTGATTCCTGGACCTGATAAATATGAGGGATGATCAAAAAGTAAGGTTACAAAGCCTGCAGTAAAAAGTGTACATTTTATTTCATACAACCAATACAGCCAATTGATAGTGTATACATTAGATTATTTTTCGACATAGTCTCCATATCGTTTTAGGCACTTATCACTTTGTGTGATGAGTTTGAATATTTCTTCCTGATAAAAATCCTATCCTTACATGTTCAGCAAAGTTGCCGCAAAGTGTTTTACTTCCTTGTCTGAAGCAAATCGTCGTCCTGCTAGGTAAGTGAGGAAACAGGTGAGAGTCACTTGAAGCAAGGTCTGGGCTGTAGGGAGGATGGTCGATGAAGTTACAGTGAAACTGCTTCAACAGCATGGTGGTCTTCTGACACCATTCTGTGACATGCTGACAAAACATTACAGTCTCTCCATAAACCCCTACCAGCTGCCGGCGAATTTCAGCCGTGGTTACATGTTTCACCCACAGAAATCGAATAACCGAGCAGATTTCTTTGCAAGACCAGTTTTCCAAACAAGTTGCCGTTTGTGTTTACCTACAACTAGTGCTGTAGGTGGTGGATGGCTGAAACTCTGCACAGTTACCAACCGCATGTATTGGAATTACCGCACACTTCTCACTTCTCTATAGCAAATGAA